AGGCAGCTGTCCATTTTGCTTCAGGCAGATGACAATGATGATTTATTAAACTTGTATACTGATGATCCAGGGCAGTTTACAGCATAAAAATACAAAAAGAGAACATAACATACACAAAAATTATTATTATTATTATTATTATTATTATTATTATTATTATTATTATATTAGTGCTGTTAGTATGCTTAAACCATGAAATGTTGGGTCATGGCCTCTGCTTTTCTATATTTTCAAAAATCTCATCCATTTTAGAAACGTGGCAATACTACTCTTGGGACGACACAGACGGCAGCCAATCAGTGCTGTGCTTCAATAAAACCCTAGTGGGCTTAGTGTCCCTGAGCTTGGCCTTGCAGCCTGCCAGGTACATGTGTCAAGAGAGCATGGCGAGTGCCCTTCCAGAACAAGACTCCTCTTCTTAGCCACGCCAGTACAGTGCACACTTTGTGTTTATATAGCTGGTTGGGAGGAAGGGAGAAGGAGCGGGTTATGGAGCTAATAAATGCATTTTACTCCCCTTTTCGCCTTGAAGATAAATTAGAGTAGTTCCACTTGGCTCATTTCCAAATGAAGGCAACCCACCCATCTCTTTAATACAGCAATCTCTCTCTCTCAGTTCCCCCCACCCAACCTCTTGTTCCTTCGCTTGCTTGATAATTTATAGGAATGAATAATACAGATTTCTGTAAGGATGTTTTCCTTATTTTTGATGTGCCATTTCTCTCCGGGAGACGGCTCTCTGCTTTCTCTCTCTCTCTCCCACCCCTCATTTTCCCCTCTCTGCGCAAAATTAATGTGCATCTGAATGGTGGTTTTGGGGACGGGGGTGGGGGGAGCCAGCGGGGCTTAAGAGGAACAAAAGGCGACTGTGGCTCGACAGAGGAGCTATCGTTATAACACGCTACCTTGAGAGAGAACTATTTTTCATTAGCTGAATGGTAATACTATATAGGAAGGTGATTAAGTTTAATAGGCCTGAGACTGGCAAGGGGGAGATAAAGTTACGATTGAGAGCCCTACTGGATGGCAAGGGGCGGGGGGGGGTGGCAGACTGACAAGAATAGCTCTGTGTAGTACAGCGTTTGGCAGGAAACGGCACAGCTTCCCCATAAATTAGGCTTAAACAGAGGTAATTTTCGGAGATATTTAAAACATTAAGGCTCCTGCGAAGTGGCAGAGGCTAAGAGCATTGTTAGCGAAATGCTGCTCTGAGGCCCAGGACGTGTTTTGTTTTGTGTTTTTAAGGGGGAAAGGAAAGGCAGAGGACGCGGTGGACGAAATGGAAAACAGCACCCGGGCTCTTTGTCAAACATAATTATCGCTTAGGGCGGCAGGCTTTAATTGGTAGATTAATCAACTGCAGCTTTAGTTGATTCATCATGCAGGGGAAGGGTGGCTATTTTAATAGGTGAGAGCAGATTGGAAAAGGGGCACCTCTGGATGTCAGTGTTTTGCAGATGGGGAGGGAGGATTCCAGCACGGCCAGGGAAATTTACTCTGCCACAGCCGAGCACAACAAATCCGCTTTTGAAAAGAAGCAGGCATTTTGCAGTTAGGAAAGTGGTCAACGATAGCACGTTTCTCCCTTTTGTCCTGAGTTTGAGTGTCTTCAAAGCCCATGACACCTTTGGGAAAGACTGTTCTCCAACTGGAGCACTCGCAGGCCAGTGTTTCCCAGTTGTCAGTGTTTATACTACAATTTTTTAGATTTGCCTTGAGAGAGTCTTTAAGCCTCTTTTGTTGACCACCAGCATTACACTTTCCATTTTTCAGTTCCCCTTTTGAATTTCCCGGTCCCCAAACACTCTGCACTACAATCAGGAAAAAGCCACACTCACAGAGCTCCAGCGATGCTGGATTTCGGCATCAATGTTGGCCCTTGTGGAAAGATAACTGCCTAGGTAGGAGAAGTGATCAACTGTCCCCACTGTGGAAGGACGTGTGGATCCAGAATTGGCCTCCACAGTCACTTACGGACTCATTGTTAAAACCGTGTTTATGGAAGATAAATCTTACTCAGCTACAAGTGATTGCCAAAGAAGTATCTGGGTGCAGCAAGATCAAACGCAGGGAAGCTTACTGGTGTAGAACAAAACGCCCCTATTTTCATCTGAGAAATGTTGGCTGGTATGCCGTTCAACAGGTCAAGGGACACAGGTGGCACTGTGGTCTAAACCACTGAGCCTCTTGGGCTTGTTGATCAGAAGGCCGGCGGTTCGAATCTGCACATCGGGGTGAGCTCCCGTTGCTCTGTCCCAGCTCCTGCCAGCCTAGCAGATCGAAAGCACACCAGTGCAAGTAGATAAATAGGTACCAGTGTGACAGGAAGGTAAATGGTGTTTCCGTGCACTCTTGTTTCGGTCACCGTGTTGTGTTGTGCCATACGCGGTTTAGTCATGGTGGCCACATGGCCCAGAACGCTGTCTGTGGACAAACGCCAGCTCCCTCGGCCTGAAAGCGAGATGAGCACCACCACCCCATAGTCACCTTTGACTGGACTGAACTGTCCAGGGGTCTTTTACCTTTACCTCAACAGGTCAGGCCTCCTGGAGCTATCTGGGGGATGGTTACGGGGTGGGGAGTCAGGCAGCAAGAAGGAGCTTAGGCAGGGCATTCCCATTCCCAGCAGTGGGACAAAACATGCAGTCCAATGGAGCAGGGTTGAGCCCTCCACCCGCCAGCTGTCTTCAGTGGTCTCCTTCAACCAGCATGTTTCCTGCATGGAATGCACTGGGGAATCAGATCCCGGCAGGATTGGTCTTCTTGCCCCTTGGAGTACAGCGGTGCTGGATTTGTGCACATGCAAAGAAAGCTACAACTTAGGGCCCCAAATGATGAGGGACCCCCTAACTACCAAATGAACAAACAATTACAAATTTTGAGTTTTACATAATTGGTTAGAAACCAAAGGAAACAGGGAAAACTCCAACACAGACATTATCAATCTGATGTGAGACAGATATGCACAGTTATTTGCTGTATTGTGTTCATAAATCTATGTATAAATAACTATAATACAGTGTTCATATATGCTAAGTAAGAAATCATAAGGTATTCACATTTCAAGGTATTTCATATGCAAATAGACTGCTGTAAGATATATGTTGCAGTTAGATCATTACTTTTTCATTGCATCCTCACCTGCGTACTTTTGTACTGGTATATATGCAAAGATAAAAGCTTATTGTTTCTATTTTTTGGTCCTTTCTGTTAGAACAAAGGGACGTGGGTGGCGCTGTCGGTTAAACCACAGAGCCTAGGACTTGCTGATCAGAAGGTCGGCAGTTTGAATCCCCACGAAGGGGGTGAGCTCCCGTTGCCCAGTCCCTGCTCCTGCCAACCTAGCAGTTCGAAAGCACGTCAAGGTGCAAGTAGATAAATAGGTACCGCTCTGGCGGGAAGGTAAACGGCGTTGCCGTGCGCTGCTCTGGTTCGCCAAAAGTGGCTTAGTCATGCTGGCCACATGACCCAGAAGCTGTACGCCGGCTCCCTCGGCCAATAAAGCGAGATGAGCGCCTCAACCCCAGAGTCATCCACAACTGGACCTAACGGTCAGGGGTCCCTTTACCTTTACCTATTAGAACAATATGCATTCTTTTGTGAAAGCTATGGGGCCTCCCTTAAAAACGTGACCTAGCTTTGGGCCTCGCCATGTCTCGAACTGACTCTAGGATGGAGAATAGACTTCACCAACGTGACACCCTCTAGTCTAGGCAATTTGAGGATGCAACACCCATCAGCCCCAGGCAGCCTGACCCAATGGGACTCCAAAACACCCGTCAAGCACCACGTTATTGAAAGCTGCTTTAGATCGCTTTAAAATGCGGTGAGCCAGACCTAGGGTACGTTCACGTTCAATGGGGTCATTCACACATGCATATGCACACCCTGCTGTGTTTCAAACCACTTTTGCATAGGGTTGGTTGCATCAGAGAGGGCACGGGGATGACCTCACCTGCCACGCATGACCTGTTAGGCTATATTCATGTTTGCAGCACCAAAGTGAGCTCTGTAGGGTGAGCAGTGAGCACTGTGCATGGCGGTCCTGGGCTGCCCAGATGACAAGACCCTCTCTCTCAGCCTCGCTACGCTGGTCCAAAGGAAAGCAGAACAAGACATTTGGCACCGGGAGGAGCTTACTGATGTAGAACACCCCTACTTTCATCTGAGCCACTCACTTCCGTATACCTGTTGCTGGAAGCCACAAGAGGGGAGAGGGCTCTGTGCTCAGGTCTGCTTGAGGCTTTCCCACAGGCCTCTGGGTAGCTGCTGGGAGAACCAGATACTGGACTAGCTAAGTTATTAGTCTGGCCCAGACCACTCTTCTAATGTTCTTATGCTGGGCAGGGGGCCCAGACAGCATTGCTCCTCGCAGAGCTTTAGTGGGATGTAGGTCCTGTGTGCTTTGCCCGCCATTCCTGTGATCTGGGCACTTGCTGGCTTGATGCGTAGAGGCCCCTTTTAGCAACCGATACAGCAGCTGCAGGCGCCTCCCCAGGATCGGGCCACCTTTGACCCAACTGCGAAGGGTTAGACAATTTTCGACTAGCTGCCTGCTAAGCAGGCTCCAGAGGTATTCGTGGAAAAACTCCTTTTCTTTAAGAAGCGATTTTGCAGACTGGCAGGGAGGCAGCTGTTGGTGGTTCACGGCTCGCGTTTCCTCAAGAAAGTGCAAAGTCCCAGCTGGACATCATGATGATAGATTTTATGGATTTTTCTCTCCCTTTCCCAGTCCCCTTACGGCCAGGCAGTTAAAATCTACAATAAGCTGCATTGCCTTAGTATATGGTTAACGTCTCCCCTAGCTAATCCCTTCGCCTTTGTTCTTTGAGAAACATACTGAATAAGCCACTTGTTTCACACTGCTGGGGAAATAACACTTTGGGGGCCTCCTTTCCGCCCTGTTTTATGTATAACAGAAGCACAGTATAGTATAGTATATACAGTACCCTGCCAGATGTTGGCTTTCTCTCCCCCCCTCCCACCCCCCACAACTACCTCTGGTTTTTCCTTGCTAGACAGGGGCAGAGAGAAGTCGACTTTGGCGCTGCTGCGACATCCGAGCTTCAAATAATGCAGGGCTGTTTCTGGAAGAAAGAAAAGCCGTGTTATGACAGCGCCAGATGATTGACACGTTACAGGTAGAGTGATGTGTGTGCATTGCTGTAGCTTAAATGATGATGAACGGCTCCCAGCAATGTTCAATATTAGTCTAGTTATGAGCCGAGTCAGTATGAATCAAACGGAATTGCAAAGCCGGGAGGAAAGCTTGCATGTCTTCCAGTCCTAAAAGGATCTTGAGGAGAAGAGCCTGGAAAGTGGTGCCCTCCCTGTGGAACGCCCCCCCTGCCCCCCCCATCAGATGTCAAGGAGATAAAGAACTACACAACTTTTAGAAGACATCTGGAGGCAGCCCTGTATCGGGAGGTCTTAATGTCGGACTTTTTTGTGATTTTATATGTACTGGAAGCAGCCCAGAGTGGCTGGGGAAACCCAGCCTGATGGGCAGGGTAAATAATAATAATAATAATAATAATAATAATAATAATAATAATAATAATATTTTTATTTATACCCCTGCCAATCCAGGTCAGCACAGAGAACTCTGCATTCTGGAAGATGAAAACATGGCCAGGCTACAGAGGAGAGGGCAACGGGGTTTTTTAAAAAAATGTCCCCAAGCCCCTCCACATTTAATGTTGTTTGACCAATTTGTCCTGACTTGACCCTGAGGGTTTAAGTTCCTATTTAATGTAGTGCACACTTGAGCGAACAGATGGGGGGGAGGTGAAAACAACGGGGAAGGGGACCAGAATTGATAGTAGCAGCAAAACCCGGCCAATTGGAGGGTGACGTCTGCATTATCGGCATCAATAGAGACACTTTTCCCTACCTAACTTCAAAGCATTGCACAGCCCCCGACTTTGCTTTTAAGTCCCTGCCATTGTTGCTGACGACAAGCCGCCCTTTTGTCTGCAAGATTCCATCAATAAGCCCCTTTATGTGGGGCGGAGGGGGAGAAAGAGGGGAGGCCTGGACTCAGGCACCTCGACATAAGTCTCCTCCTTTGTTTGCCCCTCAAGGTTCATCTGCGCCCGGGTCCGAGGAGGCAGCAAAGGAGCCGCAAAGTTCAAAGGCTTTGGTTGCAAATTAACAGGTGAGCTTAGAAGATGCTAAACACTGGGAAGTTTCTTTTGGAATAAGGATGCAGTAGCGGGAGGGGAGAGATTGGGACAAAGGAGTGTGGCCATTGTTGAAACTTGCCTTCGGGAGATGTACTCCAGAGCACAAAGATGAAAGGCAGGGATGCCCAGGTTTGTAACAAAGATGGTTCACTCGTAAAATGTTGTCTTTGTGCAGGACTCTCCTATTTCATCTCCTGCAGTGGCTGGCGGGGCGCGGGGGGGGGAGGGTATCTTACCAAGGCTAATTCCTGCGGAGCCTTTGTTTGAGTAACTCCCCCAACCAGGAAAGTTTACACTGTTGGGACTTTTTAGTTTAGAGAAACGGCTAGTAAGAGGATGAAAGTAGTACAGTGGTACCTCGGGTTACATACACTTCAGGTTACATACGCTTCAGGTTACAGACTCCGCTAACCCAGAAATAGTGCTTCAGGTTAAGAACTTTGCTTCAGGATGAGAACAGAAATCATGCTCCAGCAGCGCAGCAGCAGCAGGAGGCCCCTAAAGTGATGCTTCAGGTTAGGAACAGTTTCAGGTTAAGTACGGACCTCCAGAACGAATTAAGTACTTAACCCGAGGTACCACTGTATATGAAATTACGAATTACGCATAGCAAAGAGAACTGGTTTTTCTCCCTGTCTCATAACACCAGGACATGTGGACACAAAATGAAGCTGAATGCTGGAAGATTCAGGACAGGAAAAAAGAAAAACATTTCTTTACACAGCGCAGAGTTAAACTATGGAACTCGTTGCTGCAAGTGTCGGTGATGTGGTTATAAGCAAACAGAGAAAGCATCAAGTTGTTAGTTGGCTGCGACCCATCTGTCTCAGGAGATAGTGGAAGGGTACGTCTGATTGACTTTCATCCGCCCTCAAATTTAGTGGCCAGCCCCTGTACCTATGCCTTTAACAGCAGCTTCAGCAGCGGCCATGAACAGAAAAGGGTTTCATTTCCATACCGTGGAAAAGCTTCACCAGTTCATTGCTCCCAGTCATAAGAACAAGAGCCACTTTGCTCCCAGTCATAAGAACACAGGGAGCTGCCTTATATACCATGTCAAAGAACTGGTCCATCCACCGCAATATTGCTGACACTGGCTGGCAGCATCTATCTACAATTTCAGGCAGGGGACATTCCCAACCCTACCTGGAGAGGCCAGGAATTGAACTTTCTGCATTCAAAGCAGATGCTCAACCGCTGAACTTCAGCCCTTCCCTAAGTCCACAGGGAAATTCCTCCCTCCCCCTTTCGCTTAGTTAACAAAGATGTCCTTTAATAGCAAAGTCCTTTTTCTGCATAGTGGCGGACCCCTCCAGCCGGTGGCATTCAATTATCAGAGTTACAAGTCTGTGGGCCAATTAGCAGAGAGTGCAGTCCCTGCCTGAGCTGGGTACTGTTGTCAGCCGGTGACCTTGCAAGCAGCTTCTCTTCCTCCCTCCGGACAAGTTTGCATTAATCCACAAGCCGCATTAATTGTGGCAGTAACTCCTTTGGCCTTTCGCTTCCCGGGGAGCAGCTGGAGAAAGGGAGGGGGTGCGCAGAGCAAGAGAGCACAGAATCGATGTAACTTGAGCAGCACCTTGACTTCCTTATCAGCTGCGGAGTCCCAGTGTCGTGTCACTTAAAGCGCTGCTATTGACTTACTCTCCAAAGGGCTGATCAGATTCCACCATCCTCCCACCGGCCGATCCCAAGCACACCAGCATTAGCCATTATGCCCAGCATGGGATGGTGGTGAATCTCACCCCAGTGGCGTTGCATCCTTTGCCGGTGCCCGGGGCACACACTCGTGTGCTGGGCAGGACCAGGGGCAGGGCATGAAGGGCGAAGATAACCCGCCACACCAGCCCTTGTTGCAGACACTGCCAGGTGGGCGCAGGGAACAGAGGGTCCATGGGTATGTGCAGCACCGCCTGCCCATCCGCCAGCGCAGGGGGGAGCCCAGCCCGCCAACATGGCCCTTAGTGGGCACATCCCCCAACACTGGCTGGGCGGCCATTCAGTGAGGGGGCCTACCATACAGGGCTATGGTTTATGTTTGTTGTTCTACTCACGGCCTAGGATCCTCGTACCTACGGGACTGCCTCTCCCGGTATGCCCCACGGAGAGCCTCAAGGTCCATAAATAGCAACACCCTAGTGGTCCCGGGCCCTAAGGAAGTCAGATTAGCCTCAACCAGAGCCAGGGCCTTTTCAACACTGGCTCCAGCCTGTGGAACGCTCTGCCTCATGAGACCAGAGCCCTGCAGGATCTGATTTCTTTCCGCAGGGCCTATAAGAGAGTTGTTCCGCCTGGCCTTTGGCTTGGAGCCAATTTGATTCCCTCCCCCTTTTTCTTTTTTCCTTTTCCTTTCTCCTCCTGTGATGAGGCTGCATTTTAATATTTTAATGTTTCAGTATTTTAATGTTGTACTTTAATCTTGTTTTTTAAGTTGTATTCATTCAACTTGTTTTTATTATTGCTTGTTAGCCACCCTGAGCCCGGCCTTGGCTGGGGAGGGCGGGGTATAAATAAAAATTATTATTATTATTATTTATTATTACTCACTTTTGCTTCTGGCCTTGCTTGCAGTTGACATGTGGCGCATGGAAAGTTGCCCAGAAAGGGATGTGCCCCCAAAGGTTCCCTACTGGGTTAGATTGAAGGAACATGGCCATGGCTATACCTGGGTACTTACGGCTGCCATGTGCAATGGTAGCTGCTCATGGGAAGTCTGAAAGTGCCTGTAGCAGCTGCTGGTTCCAGCAATCACTGCACCAACCTGTGGCAAGCTCTGACACAGCACCAATTCTTCCTACTCCCATTAGCACCTGAATTCCTCAAAGCAGCAAGGAGGAGAAACAAGAATGTTTCTGATGATGGACAAACTCTGATTCCTCTCTGCTTGTTCTGTTCTCTAAAAAGTAAGCCGAACACTCCCATTGTGAAGCTCAGAGGGGCTTCCTGTTACCTGTAGCAGCTGTCAGAACTGCTAGCTGCTACAGTGACCCGGAGGCTTCTCACAGAAATGGAGCCTTGCTTGTGTAGTCCTGCACAAACTAGAGCCTTCAAGGAAGGTTATTATGCTATATCAGCCACTACGAATGTACTGGGTTTGCAGCTCTCAAAATGGCGACATGATCAATTGCCACAAATCCCCCAGTTCTGTACAAGTTAACATTTCTTTATGTAGCTTTATCTATTAGGCGGTCGAGCAAGATGTTCAATGAGTAGAGATCTGGCTGTTCACAGAATTGCAACCAAAGGGAAAATACACAGCAATGCCCGAGCGATGGCTAGACATTAACTTTCCCCGTATCGTATAGTAACTCTTTTTTGTGCTGTGTCTTCTTTTTTCCCATTATTATTTTGCACAGATTATGGCTGCAGCATGCTCAGCAAACTTAAAGACAGCTGTAAAACGCCAGCTGAAATAAATGAGGCCAAGAGCAAGGAACTGTGAGCAATAAGCAAGCTGAGGAAGACTAGAAAAATGAGATTACGGGCCAAGGACACCACAGCATTTTATATGTCTGCTGAAGTATTTTTAGATTAGGTTCATGTCTAGAAGGGATGCAGTTGAAGTAATTGATATTGTAAAGGGGATTGGATGATCAGATAGGTAGATTTCCCAGAGGCATAGCAAGCAAGCCTGTTCAGAGTGAGAGCAAGGCTTCCTGCTCTCACTCTGACTTGGCTTCAACACAGCATCACATCTGATGTGGTGATGGCCACAACATGAATGTCTTCAAGGTGGATTTAAACAAATTCAGGGATGATAAAGCTGTCAATGATTTAGATAGTAGTAGTGGTGGTGGTATTCAATGACAATTGTGTATTACCGGTAGTGTTGGAGGAAGTACATCTCTGAACATCAATTGCTGGGAATCACAATTGGGGAGAATGCGGTTGCATACAGGTTCTGCTGGACTTTTAGGACCTTTGGCCTGATCCAGCCATTCTTCTAGTTAAAGTTTTGTGAGCTGGGATAGCTCAGTTAGTAAAGTAAGAGAGGCAGGTTAAATGCAACTCCTTCCACCTTTCTTCCTAGGATAGGAATAGAGTCCCTGTGGCCATCATCCCTGACCCCTGGACATGCTGGCTGGGGCTAATGGGACCTGGAGTCCACCCACAATCCAGAGTGTCACAGGTTACCCATCCTGGTCCCAGGCCTTTGCCTCCAGGCACTTTGCTATTTTTCGCCATCCTCCTCTGGGCAAATTCCCATTTCACACAGACCCATACCCTGCAAAGCGCCATGTGGTAGCTCAGACGGAGAGATCGGCCCGGCTCAAGGTCACCCGGCGAGCTCCTCCTTCGTGGCGAAGGAGCTTCGCATCTTTGAAATCAAGAATGCAATTACCAGTGACACATATGACCTTTAGGAAGGCAGCAACAAAAATCACAGGTATATGAGCAACGCTGCCTGCTCTCGCCAGCTTCTTCTCTCTAGTCAGAGGCAGGAACAGATTTCAAGGATGCCTCTGTGCTTTGCCAAGCGATTTTGGCAGGCAGCAGAAAGGCTGGATCCAAAGCCATCAAGAATGAAGGTCAGAAGCCACCGCAGAGAAGCCAATAATCTTAGGCGGGGGGTGGGAGAGAGCTATCGCAGCCAGGCGAGACACTGAGGATCAGCCTGCATATTTGCAGTGGTAAATGAGACCATCTTTGGGAAGTATGGCCCATCCAGACATCCCCCTTCCCTTCTCTGATGGCAGATGACTCATTCACATGTTACACTGAACACAGGTACAAGTTGCTGCTTGTGTGAAAGGGCATACCGTTATTCATTTGTACAGCTCAGCTATGGTGTCCTCAGACTGTACAGTGGTACCTCGGGTTAAGAACTTAATTCATTCTGGAGGTCCGTTCTTAACCTGAAACTGTTCTTAACCTGAGGTACCACTTTAGCTAATGGGGCCTCTCACTGCCACAACGAGATTTCTGCTCTCATCCTGAAGCAAAGTTCTTAACCGGAGGTACTATTTCTGGGTTAGCAAAGTCTGTAACCTGAAGTCTGTAACCTGAAGCATCTGTAACCCAAGGTACTACTGTACATGCATTGAAGGCTGAATGTGAAGAAATGTATGAGTGTACAGCTTGATGGCTGGTGTACACAGTGTGATAATAATTTTAAGGTCTTAGATATATATTAAAAGTTCATAAATGTACCAACCAAGCACATACATAAACAGGTACACAGACTGCACACTCACTCAGTGTAACATGTGAATACCCCTAGAGTCGCTGTACACAGGTATTTTACTGTAGGTTCTTCTACCTCATAACACCAGACCTCATGGATATTCAACAAAACTGGATCTCGTAAGTCAGGACAGGTGTAAGAAAGCACTTCTTCACGCAGTGCATAGTTAAACTATGAAACTCACTGCCACAAGTGGCAGCAACGGCCACCAGTTTAGATGGCTTCAAAAGAGATTTAGGCTAATTCACGGAGGACAAGGTTATCAGTAGCTACTACTCACTGCAAGTATATTCTGTGCTATTGTTGGAGGCAGTCTGCTGCTGAACACCCATTGCTAGGAATCTCAGGTGGGCCACAATGGTTATCTCCTCTCTCTAACATCTCTGAATGTCAAGTCAGGAGAGTTCGGCATCCTTCGGAATATCATGTGCTGAAAACTGCAGGAAGGTAAGGCTGCCGTTGTGCTCAGGTTCAGCTTGTGGGCTTCCCAAGAGCATCTGGCTGGCCACTGCAATAAAAGGGTGCTGGACTCGATCGGCCACTGGCCTGATCTCACAGGCAAGACTCCTGCCCAAAACACTGGAGAGATGCTGCCAATCAATGCACATCATACTGAGGCCAATGTTCCAATTGTCTGATGAAGAAGAAGAAGAAGAAGAGGAGGAGGAGGAGGAGGAGGAGGAGTTTGGATTTGATATCTACCCGAAGGAGTCTCAAAGCGGCTAACAATCTCCTTTCCCTTCCTCCCCCACAACAAACACTCTGTGAGGTGAGTGGGGCTGAGAGACTTCAGAGAAGTGTGACTGGCCCAAGGTCTCCCAGCAGCTGCATGTGGAGGAGCAGGGAATCAAACCCAGTTCACCAGATTACGAGTCCATCGCTGGCTCTCCTCACACTGGTTGCCAAAGTAGACCCCCTTCTGGCTCAGGTGGGCCCTGGCCATGGTGGCAGGACTTTCCATCAGGGCCAGGCAGTTGGGAGCACAGAGCGGGGAAGAAATTCAATTCAGATTGCATTTGAAAGTGGATTGACCTCGTTGACACCTTCCAAAATAATACATGGCCTGAAACACAGGGTTCATCCAGACTTCCTTTTGTGCTGTGTTTCTATGTGCAGGTCTGTTTTTTAAAGCTCAGCGTCTGAGCGCTGCGCCCCTCCATCCAGCCCAGCGCTTTCCCCACAAAATCCGGAATGTCCACCCCCCGGAAGTGTGACCAGCCCAAGGTCACCCAGCAGCTGCATGTGGAGGAGCAGGGAAGCGAACCCGGTTCACCAGATTACAAGTCTACTGCTCTTAATGACTACACCACACTGGCTCTTTCATAAGGCAGCTTTTTTTCTTCCTGGAGTGAACTGTCTTCCCTCAGACAAATCCCCACTCAGGGTGAAAACTTGGTTCGGTTGGGAAGTGCTGAAAGGTGTTTTGTTGCCCCAAAGCCACAGAGGGAGGGCTCATCTGGACTTTTCCCCGGTGGGGAAACTCTTTTGAATGCTCAGTTGGCACAAACGGCAAGGGGGAAACCATTCAGACCCATGGTTTTTAGAGTGTGGACGAGCCCTGGGAGTCTGTTGGCACAGACTGGGGCTCTCTTTGTGTGGGAGACAGGGGCATGAAGGGGCTGTCATAAGGGGGAAATGAGGTGGGAAATGCTGCTAAGCTAAGGCCATTGATGGGCCAGTCTGTTGACTCTTCTGTTCATTTGTGACCAAGTATTTGCTTAAAGTGGAAATTTTAATTGCTGCCTTTACAGTGGCACCTCTGGTTACGAACTTAATTCGTTCCGGAGGTCCGCTCTAAAGGTGAAACTGTTCTTATCCTGAGGCGCGCTTTCGCAAATAGGGCCTCCCACTGTGCACACGTCTCCAGCGCACAATTTCCATTCACATCCTGGGGCAAAGTTCGCAACCAGGAGCAGCTACTTCTGGGTTAGCAAAGCTCGTAACCTGAAGCG